ACTCTACAAACCACGCCTCCTAAGGCGTGTACAAGGGGCGTCACCTACAAGTAAGGCATAAGAGACGTTTCTAAAGAATCGGTGGCATAAACTCCACCCGCTCCTGCCGTTATGGATGTCATTTCCTGTTTCCGATGATTCTAAGGTGATTCTTCGGATATGGGTAAGGATACGGATAAGGTGATCCGTCAAGGATTAAGATTATGTCCCGTCAATATGTTAAAATTGTCATTATCAATAAGTAAATAAAACACAACACGCGTCCCGTTACTAAAACACAAGGCATAGACATTGTTCTACCCTTCCATAATGTCCGAACCGCAAACTCGGATTATCGGTGTAATAGTGGAATAAACAAACACATTAATAAATAACACTCAGGTAGGTAAGTAAATAAATAACTCCTAAACAAAACTAAAACAGCAATTAACACTACTGTTGACACATATAGCACACGTATCAGTCTAGGTTACCACGCCCGTAATGCCCATACCCACCCATAAACAGGTGGGGGAGGGGGCGTGAGTTGAGGCGTGGCGCAGGTTGAGGAGGGGTTATCTCTTACTCTTCCGTACATATTCTTCTCTCCTTCTCTCGAATAACTCCTTATCCTTTAGATTATCATTGATAAAATCCAGCACATAACCTCTAGTTTCTTCTTTTTTCAGGAGTTTTGTGAAGTTTTCAGCGTTAAACTCCACCCCCAAGGTGTGGCAAAGGCGGCTCCTCTCCTCGCTCCACCTTCCACAAGCAAAGAGGAAATGCGCTGGGTCGTCAATAACTCCAGGACAAAACCAACAGTTGGGCGTAAGTTTCTTACCAATCCTTTTCAGATAAGTCCCGAAGCACCCGTGCCCGGAAAGTACTTGTGTCACGTGATATTTGAGGAGTTTCGGCCCCCACTCAATCCAGTCTTCAATGTTAGGAATTAATTGGAAGGTCCACCTCCCATTCAACGAGACCTCCCACCTCCTCTGCCATATTGCCATGGTGGCTTCCCGTACTCTTTTTTTTAAGTTAATGAGTGTATCCTCGTCCGTGTTGGTAACCTCTTTTTTCTTACAGAATATATCCTCCCTTTCACGAATAAGGAGGTCCAATGGGACTTGGCCAGTGAGGACGCAGAGTGCATCCGACGAGGTGGTCCTATAAGCGTAGGCCATTCTCAGGAGGGCGGTACGTTGAGTTGTTGTTAGTACGCCCACATTCATTTTAAATTCCAGACCCGACGCCCATATTGGGGCGGCATACATAACAACCGATTCGACTACTTTATAAAACAGTTTACGGGCCATGTACCCCCACCCCCCTCCTATGTTGGGCGTGAAAGCCGCAAGGGCCCTGGCATATCCTAGTGCTTTGGTGCACACCTTGGAAATGTGTGTCTTAAATGTCCTGTTCTTTTCAAAATGAACTCCAAGGTATCTGGCTGTGTTTTCAGAGATAATTTCAGCGTTTCCACAATTGATCTTGAGTCCACAAGTCACTTTTCTTCCTGTGAGCAGGATTGCCTCGGTTTTATGGTGGGTCAGACCAAGGCCCTCGGCCTCATACCATTTACCAAGGTCTTCAATTGTCCGTTCGGCTAACCTACGCATGATGTCTAGATCTTTTCCAACAATAACTATGCCGATGGCCCACATCTCCTGGACCGTTACATAGACCAACAGATTGTTCATCTGTTCCGGTTCCATAGCGGCAGACATCAAGTACATGGCCTTGGCGTTTTCCTTGACCCATCCTTTGCCCGCTGCGTCGTCCAGGTTTGCCGGCCTTCCTATCTCGCCGTTCAAAGCAGCGGTCATTTGGAATTTCCAGCATTGGAAATTCTTCTCGTCAAATTTCACCAAATTTCGTGCAGAAATTTCACTCGCCATTTCGGTACTCGATTGTTCGGATGTCCCCAAAAAACACACCGCACAGTATATCACACAGAAAACCGTTTTTCGTAATTGCGCAGTATGCCCATCGACCGGTGTCTGGGCCCATAACCTGATGAATATTTAAATGAATAACTAACGTCTTAACTTAGGAAGTGAAATGAACTTTAATATATATACAGGGTGTCCCAGAACTGGGGTAGGAGCCGAAGAGGGATGATTGGTGAAGTCATTCTAAACAACTTTTTCCTTTGCCAAAATGTTGGTGAAGGCTTCGTTTTCAAGTTATTAACGAAAAACACTGGCCAATCAGAGCGCGCCGTTAGTGCGGGCCGAATTACGAGAGTGTAGGGTATCCTCCGCGCGGTCGTGATCAAGTGCATCGGCACTAGTGCTTCAACAATAGGACACATGCCCGACAGCCACAGCGCCCGACAGCCACAGCGCCCGTCAACGAACACCACCAGTCCAAGATCCAAAACACAATTCACTCTTTTACAAAATTCGGAAAACTCAGAAAAACTCTGGGAAAGCACCCGCACAAATTGACTGATCACGGTTCAATACGCGGGCCCGGTCCCGGGCCATACCCCGCCATCACCACCGACACGCCGCTCGCGCCTGCGCAGGGCCGCGTGATATCGTCCAACCGCACACCCTTGCGCAGCGCCAAATTTAAAACTAACCGCTCGAGCAAGCATGCAATCGCGCGACGCGAACACTTACCCATTCGTCCGTAAATGACCAAGTTGCAATGAAAACGGTTTGCTGTCACTAGGTCATTGTGCCGGTCCTGAATATTTGAGGAGGGAAAACATTGCGAAGAACAGCTGATCTCCAGACGAGATCATTAAACTCACTCAACCGCACGGTCACTATCACTTTTCACAGAATTTCACTGCATGGTCCGAAAGGATCCAATTCTTTCAAGTAAATAAATATTTGCATTCACTGTCACGTTGCTATTACACTGGGCACAAATGAAAAACATGTAATATTCTGCACTACGACGTAACGTTTTCACAACGTTACTTTCCATCTTCAGATGAGACTGTAAGTTGAGCGTCTGCGAAGTTCTTTCTCGCTCTTTATCTTTTTCTACGTTAGGCTATATTTAAAGGATCGACGCGAGCCTCTCTCACTTACTCTCGGTTACTTCCGATTGTAGAAAAAGACAAAGAGCGAAACAGACTTCGCAGACGCTGAAGCTAGTAGTCCCATTTGAAGTTGGAAAAGAAGATCAGTAACGTCGTGAAAACGTTACGAAATAGTGCGGAATATTACGTTTTTTATTTGTGCGCAGTGCAATAGCAACATGACAGTGAATAAAAATATTTATTTAGTTGAAAGAATCGGTCCCTTTCACACTACGTAATGAAATTCTGTGAAAAGTGATAGTGACCGTGTGGTTGAGTGAGTTCAATGATCCCGTCTGGAGATCAGCTGTTCTTCCTAACAAGTTCCCTCCTCGAATGTTCAGGATCGACACAATGACCCAGTGAAAAATCATTTTCGTTGCAGCTGGATTATTTACAGATGAATTGGTAAGTTTCATTTACATTCAATCCTTTTTTTATTATTTGCAAATTTATTTTGATTTCCAAAACGTGTATTCTTTTATCTCATTTTTTTTCAAAAATGACTACCAAGTATTTTTTTAAACTCCTATCATACATCAAATAAAAGTGTTGGATCAATTCGATTTATTCATTCTACATGAATAACGATTCATTACTTCATTCATTGTTCATGAGCAACCAATAATTCGATACTATTATTCTTTTCTTTTTTTTATTCATTATTCCATACAACTTTTGCCCTATTATACCGACGTGGTGCTGATACACTTGATCATGATCACGGCTTGAACGCAGAGCATACCCAACACTCTCGTGGTTCGGCCGCGCTAAAGGCGCGCTCTAATTGGCCAATGTTTTTCGTTAATAACTCGAAAACGAAGCTTTAACTAACATTTTGGCAAAGGAAAAAGTTGTTTAGAATGACCTCAGCAATCATCCTTCCACGGGTCCTACCCCAGTTCTGGGACATCCTGTATAAACATAGATAAGGGCCTGACGCCCGATCCAGCCATCGCTTACAATAGCTATTTCGATTAGCTAGCCTGTTAATAAGTGCCTAAATAATTACTCTAACAATAAGACTGATAGAATAGGGCTAGGATAAACTTAAATAAGCAAAATATAATTATTTCAACAAAGCTTTATTAATGATATTACACATAGACTATTTATTTAGATAGTAAGGATTTAGTATATCAAGTTTAATAGTTATTATTGTATTATAGTCTTCTTTTCTTTTATGTTAGTTGTTTTTGTTGTTGCGTTATTTAGTAAATAAGTTTTCCTAATACAGTAAAACCTGGATAAATTCAACGAAAGAATGCTTGGATAAATGAAACATCGCTATCCCCTCTACTTGGGGGGATCCCCCTAGGCGAACCGCCGAGCCGCTCGACGAGGAAACCGTGTAGTATGATCCGACCGTAATATCCGTGTGACTAATACTAATTCAACGATAAAACTTTTTTATTTTTAACTTTTTCTCAATGAAACTGTTACTAATGCATTTGTGAGATTTTCCTGATTAAAATGATACCAAACTCGATATAGGTTGAATTATATTTATAAACAATAGTAATAGAATAAACAACATAGAATTGAGACCACGACTGAATATAAATGATGTCGGCTGAATACAAAAGATGTGTACGGACACAGAATCGGCATGTCGGCTGCAAAGAAAACATGTGTACGGACTCAGAATCGACACCTCGCTTGGATAAATGAAACATTAAATGCCCAGAATCGACTCCTCGCTAGGATAAATGAAACCTTTGAAACCAAAGCCGACACCGCGACTGGTTTGGATTTCGATCTCTCTTGCTTTTCGCCAACTTATAACATCCATTTTAGCAAGTAATTATAATTGAAACTATATCGTGTTTGATACCACTTTACTCACAAAAATCTCACCAATGCGCTAGTAAAAGTTTCACTCAAAAAAAGTCAAAAATAAAAAAGTTTTTTGATTCAATTAGTATTAGTCACACCGATACGTTTCGGCTCTTTCCTTTCATTTCGGACCTCTCTCTTTCCACCACTGTCTGTCCCTTTCTACGTTCACGCTTGGCTGGTCGTCGCGTGTCATCCGAGCTTCGATACCGTGCTTAGGTAAACGCAACCACTGGGTCCCAATCTTGGTTGAATTTATCCAGGTTTTACTGTAGTATGTAAGTCGCTGTATCATCTTCGCATACCATAATTCCTTTCCTTTATCATCTCCTGCTTTCTCACTCACTGTTTCTATTTCTTCCTTCCTTTTCTTCTTCTTCCCTTTTCAATCATCTGGAACAAACAAATTCAGTTTTTATTTAGTCTACAAAATTCTCTTTTCTGAATATTTTTGTATCATTAAGTTAGTACTAAGAAACAATTACAAACCAAAAAAAATAGCCAAAAGCTTTATGCATTAATAAGCATGTCCTAGAGAGGCTCACTTGCACGCCATTAGGATAAGTGTTTAATTATATACTCAAGTCAATCGTTTATTCTGGTTCATATATGTACTTGTAACAGAAGAAAGACGAAAGTTAATAAACAATGTTAAAAAAAAACCCCCAAAAAACGGTTAACTCCGCGATTAAACACATGACTCGCAATCTAAAGGTCCGCGGTTCATATCCTTGGTTCCCAACATTTTTTTTTTTTTTTTTTAATGATAATTTCTCTTTTTAAATAACTATTACAGCTATGCTATAATCATTGCATTTATTAATAATTAATTACATACGCTGTAATTTTTATAGAATTTAAGTTATGTTTTCTATCCAGTACGTACATTAACATCCCTACTGCATTCGAAATTTGCACGCGTTTATTTGTTGACACGCATGTACTTGTGTACTTTTGTAAATTTCGAATGCGATAAGAATGTTAATGTACATACGTACTGGATAGAAAATATAACTTAAGGGCCATTCCACGCAAAGTGATCACACTTTTTCCCGCATGGTCTTGGATTTTTGTTAAATTTTGCAGGCTTGTAGAACCCAATGTACGAACAAAAAATCGATGCTCCGTTCCTCGATATTGTTTAAACTTTCCGAGTTATAAGGACTGAAAATTTAGGGTCACTTTTTTTTCAAAAAATCATAACTCGGAACGTATTATAGATATCGACATGCATGAACCGGCATTTTATAGGTAAAACTTCAAAGTTTAATAAAAAAAATTACTACATGTGTCAACGCAATCTCAAATTGTTGTAAATAATGTTCATAATTTTCAAACTTGAAAATAACCCCAGGGGGAGGACGAATCGGTCTGAAATTTTTTCTGTAGAATCTATAAAGAGTTTTCTAAATATCCTGAAAATTTCATGATGGAACACGCAGAATTACCGGAGTTATAATATTTTATTGCTGCGTATGACCTGCCGGCGGACCATCGCGCGCCATCCGGTCCCCATGCGCCACTGCACTTGTCGGCGTTACTTTTCGGTCTATCCGCTTACAAATACAAATTGGAGTAAATAATTGTTTCTAATACATACTTTTTTCTTAATCTGGAGAGGTGATTTTAAAGATTTTGATGTGATAGAAGATTCACCAAGAGATTTAAGGGCACTATTTAACGACGATAACGAATATTCCCGATCTATTTCTTCTACATAACTACAGGGTGATTCTTTCGCAACCCAACACAAAAGCCGTGCCGCACAATAGAACCCCTGCTGTTCCGTTTCTTGTATTCGTCTCAGCCATAAACACACACAAAGCAGTTTTGGGTCCGGCGATATGGCCCCTGGGACTCTTTATCCGTAAAAACAGCAGGGTTCCATTGTGCGGGGCGGCTTTTGTGTTGCGTTGCGAGAGAATCACCCTGTATTTGTGTTTCACCCGGTATTTGTTCCCGAATTTGACGAATTGTTACTTATTACTTGTTCTACATTACTTGGACCAACAACTGGCTCTTGAACTGTTGGAGAACAACCCGGCTCACTTACGTTTATGATAGGAAGATTTGGATGATTTAATCTAGATGTTCGAATTACTCGCATTCTACACATGCAGCACAAATTTTCTCCTAATATTATATTCTGATATTTTTCACGAAACGCGATTGTAACTGAATGAAGATTTTTAGTTACATTTGAATGTCGAGGTAAACTAAATGGATTGGAACAATATCTTCGCGGTATTTTTGCTTTCCACCAGTATACAATTACAGTTTTAAACTAAGAAAAACAAGAAACTGAAAAGTACACAACATAGTTATGCACAACACTGAACGCTTAACTGAAACCGCTTGTCCCGTTGCTGTCCTAAATAAAACTGAACGGTGTTCTGGAAAAGTGAACCGTCGAAATCGTTTTGCCATACTTTTATTGCCTTTTAAGGGTTTGTAGACAAAAGTACCACAAACGTGTCGACTTATTTCGTAGTTGTTAACCGATGGCTGGCTATTTAAAAAAATGTAGAGTAGCGGCGCATGGGGACCGGACGCGGACGGCGCGCGATGGTCCACCGGCAGGTCAACGCAGCAATAAAATTTTATAACTCCGGCAATTCTGCGTGTTCCATCATGAAATTTTCAGGGTATTTAGAAAACTCTTTAAAGATTCTACAGAAAAAATTTCAGACCGATTCGTGCTCCCCCTTGGGGTTATTTTCAAGTTTGAAAATTATAAACATTATTTACAACAATTTGAAGATTGCGTTGAAACATGTAGTGATTTTTTTATTAAACTTTGAAGCTTTACCTATAAAATGCCGGTTCATGCATGTCGATATCTAAAATACTTTCCGAGTTATGATTTTTTGAAAAAAAAGTGACCCTAAATTTTCAGTCCTTATAACTTGGAAAGTTTAAACAATATCGAGGAACGGAGCATCGATTTTTTGTTCGTACATTGGGTTCTACAAGCCTACAAAATTTAACAAAAATCCAAGACCATGCGGGAAAAAGTGTGATCACTTTGCGTGGAATGGCCCTTAAATTCTATAAAAATTGCAGCATATGTAATTAATTATTGATAAATGCAACGATTATAACACAGCTGTAATAGTTATTCAAAAAGAGACAAATTACTATTTGAAAAAAAAAAAAAAATGTTAGGAACCAAGGATTTGAACCGGGGACGTTTCGATTGCGAGTCATGTGTTTAACCGGGAAGCTGTTTGTATGTGTGAGTTTGTCATACTTGTCAATGTATGGAGTAACTAACTTTAATTGTTAATATCTTTTAAACAATTAACTGTCTACCCCCAAAATGGGGTATTTAACTCTACAAGTTGGCAAAGTTTCATTAATAAGTGAGCGTAACACTTGGGTAGTTCCCCTCGTTAATATGGAAGCAATTAATTCTTTTACTTATTTCGGCTTATTAATCATTAATAAAGTTTATTGTAGAGTTTCATAGAAACCTTTGCAATTTGAGCACTAACATTATAATTGTACTTTGAATTATTATCACAATAATAATAAAAAAAAAGATCTTCCCATGAGCCTAGTTTTTTAATACTTTCCATCAAATCATTTATAAATATGTTGGATATTTATGTTCATCTAAAATTTTCAACTTGTATTTTGAAATATAGTTTTCTTTAACCATAATTGAGACTATCAAAATTAAAAATGTTCACTTCATTTTTACCTAAAAATATTTCTTAATTTCAGAACAAATTATCTTGATACATAAATATGAACTGTTAATTATGAATATAGGCTAAGTCCATTTTCACCTGGATAGTAAAGTTAATTGTAAACCAAAATTTTGTGTTCACTAGAAGCTAAAGCAATATAATATAAAATTCTTGTTTTATGTCTCATTTTCATATATTTCTTTACAAAAATTACTCACTTATTTTAACTTACTCTATTAATATGTGTATAGTTTTTTCTTGAAGTTTTTGCATGTCAAATATTTGTTTCTAAAATTTTTTATATTTATTTTGATGTGGATATTTGTTCTGAATATTCTAACAATTGTACTTTAAAGTTTAAGTTTCTCTTTTTTACTTCTTTTTATTTTTTAATTAATATATACCATAAGCCTAGTAAATGCATTGATGTGTATAAATTCTTCTAATTTTGTAAATAATAATATATATATTAATAATATATTTGTTTCAGTTTGTTAAACACTTTGAATGACTAAAATGATTATATTTACAACTATGTCTTATTGTTAGTTTTCAATTTTTGTTTGTTTAATAATATAGTGTACAATATATTTATTTTTATCAAAAAACTCTGCAATGCCTTTTTAAGATTTTCCTTAAAAATTATTATATTCAAAATTAAATAAACTGTTCGTGCAATGTTTCAAAGTCAATTATGTCTATTAATTTTTACATCTACTTCAAATATTCAATATTTCTTCAATAATCTTTTATATGTTTACATATTTTTGTCATTCACATTTAATATACATGTCACAGTAGATATGTTAATTTTAAAAAAGTTTACACTTACTAGCCGAGATATATACATATTAACTTCTGATAATAAAGTATACATTTACATTAGAACAAATATGAGATATTTTTATATTTCCTTGATATTTTTCTTAAAATTGTTATGTAGTTGCATATATTGACTAGTACGAGTATAGTTATTACATTTTATGATTTCATAGTAACACACATGCACGTTACAAATGCTTAACAAATATTATCTAACATTTTGAATTATCTTTTTCTATTCAACTTTGCTTTGAAGATATTAATATTTTGATGACTCACTGAATACTATTACTGTTTACTCATATCAATTTTTAATAATTGTTATATAAAATCATAATAACCTGCAAACAAAATTCTATATATAAATATACAGGTAAGTCACTGCTTCCAGAGTATGTTTATATAACGTATTATACATATTCCTACTTATCAACATAAATTGAAATCCTAAAAGACATTTATAAAGACAAATTTATATTTTTTATTATTTGCTTTGCTATATATCTATACACAACTATATACTTTCAAAAAATGTTTCTGACTTTTATAAACGTATACTGTACAATGTACTGTATGTATATATGTATGTACAAAATATTTCAAAAACATAGAATAAACTAATAAAAATGTACCGTTATATGCATGTGAGGTATGTTACATACATACAAGCCAGTTATATTTAATTTTTGTAGCTGGTTCATCATTTGCAACCTACTCCTTTGTGGATGGTGTTTCAGCAGAGATAAATCTTTTCCAATTATCTTATTTATGTAAGGTAATTGAGCACATTGTTATATGTTTGAAAATATTTAAGTACTATAAATACATTTTATTAATCATTTATAAGTAAAAATTTCGTAAGTAATATAAAAAAGTTTCAACACATGTATATATTTTCATATAAATTAATATTTTGTAATTTTAAATACGTTCTAAATATTTTACTTTGTCTTTAGAAAATTAAAAATAAATTATTTTTATTTAGTTATTATTTACTCTTTTTTAATTTATACGTTAAGAAACGTTAATGAAATCAACTTTTTTTCTCAATTCTATTTATAATTTTAGTCTCAATACAATAATAAGTAGCAAATGCTATATTTATAAGAGATTTGTAAGAGAAGTTTAAAAATTACAATTTTATTTTCATATTTTCAATATTCTAAAAATATATTTTTGTATATTGCATTGAAATAAACTTTTTAATTTTTAAAAACTATAACTTTTATGAGTCTTCGTTTTTTTGTAGGTAATCATTTATATTTCCCGCGTTGGCGAATTGAAACATACGGTTTAGTGTACCATCTGAAAAGTCATGAAAATTTCGTGACCTGTAGAAATTGCATGGAGAACAGCACAGTTCAGACAAGCGGCAGAACAGTGTGATCCGTCGCCATTTTGTTTATTTTCGCGTAAAAGAGATTTAAGAGATCACCTAAGCAGATCGTTTTATCTTTGTCCGTGAATAGATCAGCTGAATGCATTAGTAGTTACGTTAGAAAGTTGAACGGATTATACGGACAGAAAGAAATTATTTGTATAGGGGATTATTGGCAGTTTGGAGAAAGTACCTAAGATCAAAACTTTAAAAATCCAAAGTTTGGTAAGGAGTACGCAATTCTTACGATTATAAACGTGCCGGTACCGCGGTGCGGAATACGTTTCTCGGATCGGTTGAGAAAAAGTGAGGGAATAAAAAGTGAAAAGTGTAAACGAGATATAGGTGCTACAAAGAGTGAGAAACGAAAGTCGTGACGACAAGAAGAAAAACAACGTAAGAATTACGAAGGATATCATCCAAGGGTGAAATATATGGTCTGGGCGTCCCCCCCAAAAACAGGGGCATTTGATAGCCGCAGAAATTGGGCGCATCGCAAGCAAATATCAATCGTCATCTTGTGGTGAAACGACGTCCCTATCAAGTCGTTTTAGTGACGGTATTTCGGTCGTAATTGGAATCGAGCAACTACTGCAACAGAATTTTCTTGAACCAAAATTTTCCCTCTTTAGTGAAAGTAATCAGTAAATTGACCAACACCAGTCGATTGTTCTTAGAAATTCTTTTGCGATTGCATCAATTAAATTAACTTGAAGTAACCTCGACGGCGGAAGCCGCCTCCGAGGTTCCCGGCACAATCAAAACGACCATCAATATCGGCATTGCAATGAACCACGTTAACGATCAGGAAAACCTTAAACAGCTCAACCTGGCACCAGTTCAGGTTAATGAAGTCGAAGAAATGGATACACAAGAAGGAGGTATACTTTAATTTCATTATTGTTATTTATTATAACTCCCATATTTAAATTAATTTAAATACGTTTCACTTATCACTTTAAAGGTTATACAGAATATGTTTAATTTTATACATCAACACAGATGTTTTATTATAAATTTCAATTTATGCACTTGTATATTTTCTTTAAAAAAATAATGTACGTCAGTTTTTATTACAATAAAACAATTTATCGTGATATACATAATATATACACACATATACATGCACACGATTTATAGTAATACAAATATTTAATATTTGAGAAGTTCAGTCAGTTCAGTCAATTTTTATACATATACAGAAATTTGAATATATGTTTTTCATTTGATAGAGATATTCATTTGTTTTTGATGTCATAAGAACTAAAATGTGATACATCGTTTTTCATTAAGTATTTGTATAATTATATGGGTGCTTTATTTCAAGATTATTATCAAGTACTAAGTAAATTGTATATTTTGTTATATATTATAGATAATTCTTTGTGTCAACATTTATTTATCAAAAAGTAATCACAATTATGTTACATACATTCATGTAGTTAAGAAAGTATGTAATAACAACTGAAATCTTTTAGAAACACCAAATGATGGTGGAGGAGATGGGAACGATACAAGTCCTATGAATGGAGAATCAGAATTAGCTTGTATTGTTCAAGATCAGGAAATGGAAGAAGGTAAAAAACAATACAGGTTATATTTGTTTTGGTTTTACAATAATTTTGCAAAATATATTTTACTACTACTGGCGTTCTTCCTATTACAGATCTGTTCAATTATTTACTTTTAATCTATTTGTTAAAATATTCTTAATTACTATAAATGATATAAAGTTTCTTATAATGATCTGATTTCTAAATCAGGTGTGACATCATGCTAATAAAGAATATAATTACGATATTAAACTTTATTATAATCTCAGTATAATTTTAAAACTTAAAATTTACTAATAATTGAAACAGGTTAATAATATAAAATAAAATGCAAATAAAAATCAAAAAAGTGAACTAAGGCAGTTTAAGCAGATGTTTAGTTATAAAATTATAACTGACTATAGTATAAAATTTAAAAATCATAATGAACAGAGGTATTTTAATATTACTCTTGTTTTCTAGACGAAGCAAGGTCAGAAGCTACCTTTCGCTATACAGTAGAAAACCTTTCGAAAATGAAAGAAACACAATTGTCTCCTCCATGCTATGTACGCAATTTGCCATGGAAAATAATGGTAATGCCAAGGACAAGCCAAACTCAAGATAGAACTCCTCAAAAGTCACTTGGTTTTTTTCTGCAATGTAATGGAGAAAGTGAATCAACATGGAGTTGTTACGCAGTTGCAGATCTTCGATTACTTTCTTGCAAGGAAGGACAAGAACCATTTAACAGAAGTTAGTATATTGTTATATACTAATATTTTTACTTTCAATAAAATTGTTTTTCATTTATATTCAATTTACAGAAATTTTCTTTAATTTTTTAGCATTATGATTATGTAACATTAGATATATTTAAATACATGACTTTATTTTAGGAATTCAGCATCTATTCTATAGTAAAGAAAACGATTGGGGTTTCAGTCATTTTATGACGTGGCAGGATGTCCTGGATCCTGATAAAGGCTACATCAAAGATGATTCTATTACACTTGAGGTTAGTCAGATATATTTTACATATTAAAAATATTGATAACATAATTTCATACAAGAATGTAATTCCTTAATTAATACATTTATTTTATTTCAATTTATATTTATATTAATTTATATTGGATATATAAATATCTAAGTGTTTATAAATATTTTTTAAATTCTGACAGGTTCATGTAATGGCAGATGCTCCACATGGTGTCAGTTGGGATAGCAAAAAGCATACAGGATTTGTAGGATTAAAAAATCAAGGTGCTACATGTTACATGAATTCCTTGCTTCAAACTTTGTATTTTACTAATCAGGTAAGTCCTAATATTATAAATTTAAATCATGCTCTAAACAGTCTTAACTAATTTGTAATAATGTTAATGGCAAGACTTTAAATTATCTGTTAATTATAAATATTATGGTATTAATGAATTTTGAAGTTATTCAAGTTCGGTTAATCAACTGGAACGTAAATGTTTAAATACACATATATTTTTGTTTTCAGTTGCGCAAAGCAGTCTACAAAATGCCGACAGAAAGTGATGATTCTAGCAAGAGCGTTGCTTTAGCTTTACAAAGGGTTTTTCATGAATTACAATTCTCCGATAAACCAGTTGGTACAAAAAAATTAACTAAAAGTTTTGGTTGGGAAACACTGGATTCTTTCATGCAACACGATGTACAAGAATTTTTACGAGTGGTAAGAAACTAATTTATTGGAACTTACTAATTTTGGATTACATTAATGTATCAAAATCAATATTTGTTGATTGTTTATTAATAATTACTTTAGCTTTTAGATAAATTGGAAAGTAAAATGAAAGGAACATGTGTTGAAGGTACAGTGCCAAAATTATTTGAAGGAAAAATGGTGTCGTTTATAAAATGCAAAAACATCGATTACAAGTCAACTAGAGTCGAAACTTTCTATGATATACAATTAAATATAAAAGGCAAGAAAAATAGTAAGTACATGAAAATACATTTTTCTTGATGTTATGTGGATTGAAGTAAAAGTTGCATGCTTCTTATTACATATAAAGTTCGTATATTAAATAAACACTAATTATAATTTAGTTTATGAGTCCTTTAATGACTATGTAAGTACTGAAAGTCTGGATGGTGATAATAAATATGATGCGGGAGAACATGGATTGCAAGAGGCAGAAAAAGGTGTTATCTTTTCATCGTTTCCACCAGTTTTACATTTACATTTAATGAGATTTCAATATGATCCAGTTACAGATTGTTCTGTCAAATTTAACGATAGGTAAGTGATGTTATAGTAATGTGATTTTAATACGTTCACAGTCCAGAATTTAAATATTTTTTGGTTTATTAATTTTTATCTACCTTACTCTTACTGAAAGGATTGAACAAGTTTTATATCTTTATTGGTTATATATTATTCGTATTTGTTAAAATACTGTCTAACACAGATAGTATATATTCAACTTCCACAGTATAAGATACAAAAAACAATTAAAGTGTAGTATCATTGTTATAATAATTAATTTTTGATTTTAATAATTTGCACATTTATTGCTCATTCTTATTATTCAAAATGCATATTGTATAACTTTTAATTACATCTCTTCGATCTTTTTCCAAATCTTTTTGATTGCAATTTCCAGCTCATTTGTATATTTATTTTTATAAATGTTTCTTGTAAAGAAACTATAAGCGCTGAATTATATGTGTCAGGTGAATGAATTGTACAATCCAATTTATTTATATTATTATCCTTGTTTGAACGTATTGTTTTTTACATATTATTTTCTCGACATAAAACTATGATATACCAAATATTTCAAGCATCTAAGGTTTTATATCAAGTAGCATGTTTTTCACGTTCCATTGACCTAGGATGAATTTACCTCGTTGATAACATTGCTTCATTTAAAAAAAAAATTGTGGTAATAATAAGAAAAACAACCAAAATTATCTAGATTAAATTACACTGTACAACACTCATCTGGACCACGAATATTCAATTGGTATTTCTTGCAGATTTTTATGTGCTGAATATAAATCTGCAAACCATTTTTAACCATTAGCTCTAGTTTTTCAGAAATTTGATTTTGAAAAACAAAAAATGCAAATTTTCAACTTTGAGGACGGTTTGTGATTAAACACTAACAGTTATTTGATTTTTTCAATACGAAATTATTTCATGAACTCTTCCAAATGAAATAATATATATAAGTCGTTACATTAGAAACATGTAAATAATGACATCTGAAACATCAATGTTTGTAGATATTTTTCAATTTATTTCAAAAACTAAAGTTGTAAAAGAGAACCTAATAACACTAGACGATAGAGCAGACATTTTTTCCACGGAAACTAAAGAAGGTTATTGATCTGTTTTTGTTTTCGACATAGAAACAAAATAGTTTTGTAAAATACGTGAAACCGGCAATGGTATTAATCGACGGCGGCCCCTTCTTCTGCTGCTCAGCATGACAGAACCAATAAATGCGCACTACGCTATCATGTGAGGTCTAAATACGTATTGAGCAATATTATTGTTTATTTGAAAATGCTATAATTTACGACATTGTTATTTTGGCCAACTTCAATCTTTCACATACATCTTGCATATTTAATTTTAATTTTTAATGTGTTTATTTAATACATGTATGTAATTTTTTGTAAATATTAGTTACAATAACTGCTTCCATTGCTACGATATAAGCAGATAAACTAAAATTCGGCACAGCCTAATAAATTACTCTCTTAAAAATATTTAACTTTCTAGGAGATTTTAGAACAGTATATTATAGCCATTATTTATATTATTGAATAATTTAAACAGAAATGTGTCTAAATTAGATTTATCATAAATCATATCGGTCATGGAGTTGTGAACGTGTTAATTCACTGTAACCATTACTTTTTATAATACTCTTCACTTCTAAAACTATAAATTTTATATTTTATAAAGGTTTGAATTTTATGAAAAAATAAGTCTTGGCAAATATTTACAAAATAAAGAATCAACAAGTGCAGATTATACATTGCATGCAGTCTTAGTTCATAGTGGAGATAATCATGGTGGACATTACGTTGTGTTTATTAACCCAGCTGGCGATGGAAAAGTATGTGCTATTTTTATACTATTTAGTATGTTATAATATAGTTTACATGTTTGAAAAATTTTGTTTTAAATATATTTTTAAAGAAAAAACTACTATTTTAATCTTAAAAAACTTATAATTACTCAGTTTGATTACTGAATAACATTTATTGATAAATTCACGTGTCATTGCTAATTTGTATGTACTTATTTTTCAAACAGTGGTGCAAATTCGATGATGATGTCGTATCAAGATGTACAAAACAGGAAGCCATTGAACATAACTACGGTGGCCAAGATGAGGATATGTCTATAGCTGTGAAACATTGTACAAACGCCTACATGTTGGTGTATATAAGGGACTCTGAGTTGGAAAACGTATTGCAAGACGTTAAGGAAGAGGATATACCTCAAGAGGTCAGAAACGTGCTACAAAAAGAACTTTCCCAGGAGTTGAGCGACCTTGAACGTGACAAAGACGCGACTGACTCGATTAAAGACTCACATACAGAGACTACGACACTTCGTCCGTGCACACAAAATCCTCGAAATCCAAATCTCTATATTCATGATTTTTAAGGGAACAGGAAAGAAAGTTGTAAATTATTTGAAATTCTTTTCCCACTAAAGTTCCCATTTCTTAAATATGTTTTGGGCTGAGTAGCTCATAAAATCACCAAATTCATAAATACATTACAAAGATGAAATGAGTTTAATGAAATAGAAACATATTGAATAGATTTAATATTTTGGATATGTGAATTAATCAGAAAAATAAGATTTATAAATTACATTTAATAAATTAATTTTTTTTTTTAGCACGTACACTCACACGCGCGCGCGCGCGCCTACACATACACGCACACGTCTGTGTGCAGATATTTGTTATAAAGTTTTCTCTTCATATTTTTTAATAATTAGAAATTTATAGCGTTATCAGCTAAATGCTGTTATACCACCAAATGTTAATATTGCATTCATTGTGCCCATTTTTCAATACATCTATGTATTATGTCACACATGATAGTTTTAAAGTGTTACGCGCGCATTATTTTGCTGATATATTTATCATTTATGAAAGAAACATCTCATTATGTCAACTTAAATGATTAATGTTTATATACAAAACATGTTTTATTCTGATATAATGAATATTTAATCGAAAATTTGTCGTAGTTATCGAAAATGTATAATTAATAGATTTTTAGTAGTTTCTATCATATAGAAGTTTTTTTTTATCCTGATAGAAATATATTTGTTTTTGATAGAGGATTTTTTTGTATGGACGATTGAGTCGTATAAGGATAGCATTTTTGCCAGTTCATAATATTTGGGGGGAGGGGGGTAATCAAAAATTAATTGGCTGACTGAACGTTCTGCAGTTAACTAATGTACGCGTTGCACTTCAGGTACTATGAGAAAAGGTTACAATTGGGTTGGCATAAAAATTTGATTATTATGCTATTATGATGAGCCTTAGAATCGTTTTGGAATGTTTATTGTAATAAATATTGTATAATATTATACCTTAAACAAAATAATTGTATTGTAGTATTTTAAAGCTTTGGGTAACAAATGCACAGACATATCGCAGAATAGATGAAAAAATGTGTGAATAATTATAAGAAGAACAGGGGCAGGAAGGTCTTTTTAATTAATAGTAAGATTATTATTGAAAATCTGGTTTGGAACATGAGTTTTGTCTCATGAAGTTGATAAATGTTGAAAAGAAAAAAAGGGAAAAATGAACAAGTAGGCTTTATTAATGTCAGCTTCTTCCTTCACACGTCTTCTACGATGTATTTGTTATTTAATGATCGTTTAGTGAGTGAGATGAAATGTGATTTACTCTATCAGATCAGTAATTTTAAAGAATCGATACTAAAGTAACGTTAATGATAAAATTAGGATATTACACCTTGTAATAAGGTCTGAATCAATTGAGTCGTTAATACATTATATTTTGTCAATGTTAATAATCAGTATGACCATCAACAGATGCTACCTATTTATTTGTTGTTATATACTAATAAACAGAAAAAGTCAATGCCACATGAACAAAATCAATACTAATATTATAAAACACCTATATATATATACATATATATATATATATATTTTTTTTTACTTCTAAACATATTAATATTTAAATAAGAAAACAGAACTGAATGCTAGAGAATTTTAACAAATCAGAATTCATGTTAAAGAAATTGGTTACATATATTTTTGATTTGTAGTGTTTAAGAATGTAGTTACAGTTTTATTTTAAATAATCGTATAACAGCAATTCAGACTGTAAAGCATCTCCACACTACTATGGTTATACATTACATTTTATTATTATTTGGCATAAATGATGGTGTTTTATATCTAAAGGAAAAATGTGGGTATAGTGATTCTGAATTTACACACAATAGTTATTAGAATGATATAATTCTTAATACATACTTTCCACACATGCATGCATACATACATACATACATACATACATACATACATACATACATACGTACATACATACATATGTACATACATACATTCTAATTAATTTTCAAGTTTGATTTATGGTGGAAATGAAAACTTTAGGAAAATTTGATAAAACCAATGTATTACTGTTAACTAGTTAAACTTTCATCTCTGTATATAAATTAATTAATATTTTTTAAATTTATTTATATCAATTTAAAGTATATTATATGAGACCATCATTTATAGCTGAATAATTTATATTGTGTAATTGTTTGACTTAGTAGTCTGTATTGCGGCAGATGAACAAAATTAAAATTATATAAAAAAAAGAGCAAACAAAATTCATTCTTTTGATGTTTCGAATACTATTTTGTCGAATCTCAAAAGTATGATACTAGTACGCTGCTTTTCTAAAAGTTGAAATTTTAGAAGACAGATGAGGAAAAATTATCAATGAGATGAATTTATATGGATAATTTTAATTTTGTTGGTCTAGCTGGTGGAGAGGCTGCAAGAGGAGAAGAGGCTGGAACAAATACGAAGAAAGGAAAGAACAGAAGCATACTTGTATATAACCGTCAACGTCCTTCTTGAGGATAATTTTGACGGTCACCAAGGAAATGACTTATATGATCCGGAGCATGCTTTGTATCGTGTATTTCGCGTACGTAAGCAGTGTGCCTTGCACGAGTTTCTCAAATTGCTGAGTGATAGCTTGGTAAGTGTAATTGTTCAACAATTTTTCATCCTGTATTTCTCTGATGGTATTAACTTAAAATCATATATATTCATATCGGTACATGCATAATTTAAATATCAAATATTGGTGTGACATCATATGATACGTGCTGTTTATATTTTATTCTTGTGATTATCTACGAACACGGTAGGTGATTGCAAACGCAGTATTTAAATGAAACAAAATATTTTAATTTAAGTAATTGTAATCTTAACTAATTTTGTGGGTTTTTTCTACAGAAATATCCAATAGAACAAATTCGTTTGTGGCCACTGAATATACGTTCAAATCAGACTTGTAGGCCAATGCCAATTGAATTAGAAACCGATCTTCCAAAATCTATTTATCAATGTGCAGAAAATCCAAACGTTTGGAATGTATTCGTTGAACTTGTTCCTCCAGATTCTGATCTAACAGCATTGCCGGCTTTTGATAAAGACACAGACGTTTTGTTGTTTTTTAAGTTATATGATCCCAAGAACAAAAAGATACACTACTGTGGACATCATTATATGCCTGTCACAGCTAAAGTCCGTAAGTTTCATTTTAAGTATTTAATTAAATTGTATAGTACTATATTAAATACTAAAGTAATACTTTTGTTTTTAAGTGCACATTGCAAAAATTTAAATTGTTAATTTTTCTTCTATTTTGGAAAAGTGCACACAAATAATTTTGCACAGTTTTTACTTTTTATGTTCTTTATAATAGCGCAAAGTTTGGTTAAATTCAATGTTCCAAAGGGCTTATGCTTTTTTATCATTTTTTGTCACAATTTTTATCAATATCTCTACCTCTTCAAACTCTTTTGTTATAACAATGGAAATAATTGTTATGTATAATGTTTGTACAGAGGACCTAATACCAATTTTAAATGAAAGAGCTGGATTTCCACCAGATACTGAACTAGCTCTTTACGAAGAGATCAAACCTAACTTGGTTGAAAAGATAGACAGCTTAACGGAGCCATTAGAAAAAGTCCTTGAAGAATTAATGGATGGTGATATTATCGTTTTTCAGAAAGAAGGGGACCATCAGTTATATGAACTTCCAACGTGTAGAGAATATTTCAAGTAAATCAGAAAAATGCTTATAAAACTTTATATTTTATATAAAAGACGTTAAAAGCACCCTATATTGTATTGCAGGGACTTATTTCATAGAGTAGATGTAACATTTTGTGATAAAACGATTCCTAATGATCCGGGTTTCACAATGGAACTTTCATTAAGAATGACGTATGATCAGATGGCAAGAGCTGTGGCGCAAAGGCTTGGTACAGATCCATATCTTTTGCAGTTCTTTAAATGCCAAAGGTAGGAACATATAATTTTAGATAATTATATAGGATGTTTATAAATGAACAGGAATTGAAATATGCAAATTTCTTGTAATGGAAAAAATATGCTGTATTGTTTTGCAATTTACGTCCTCCAAAAATATTTGATATTTTTTGGACACGCTGTATGTGATATAATACCGTTTTATTTATATAGAATTCAATGTTCATTTTATTTATAGTTACAAAGATTCACCTGGACATCCATTAAAATGTACATTTGAAGGTTCACTTAAAGATTTGGTTACATATTGCAAACCGAAGACAAAAAAATTATATTATCAGCAACTTAGTATTAGAGTAAATGAGCTTGAAAATAAAAAACAGTTTAAATGCATATGGGTTGGTCCGTCTCTTAAAGAAGAGAAGGAAATTATTCTTTACCCTAATAAGAATGGAACAGTAGCCACATTGCTCGAAGAAGCTAAGAAACAAATTGAGCTATCAGAGAATGGGTCTGGAAAGTTAAGGATATTAGAAATAAATTGTAGTAAAGTTTCACCCGGTCCAAGAGAGGATGTACTTTTAGATAACTTAAATACATCTGGTACGAAATTATACAGAATAGAAGAGATTCCAAATGATGAATTAAATTTAGCAGAAGATGAAATGTTGGTTCCTGTTGCACATTTTCACAAAGATGTTTTCTCAACGTTTGGCATACCTTTTTTCTTTAAAATTAAACATGTAAGTATAATTAAACGTGTAGTAAAAGTTGTTTAAAGAAATATATTAATAGTATTGTTATTTATATATATTTACAGGGTGAACCTTTCCCAAAGATGAAGGAAAGATTGTTGAAGAAATTAGGGGTACAGGAAAAAGAATTCGAAAAGGTAGGCATCCTAATCTAATTTTATTTGATATCTTATGAGAATTCATAAAAAAACTTTGAAGTTTAAGTTCGCGGTGGTAACAATGGGAAAACCACATTTTATTATGGATTCACCAGAATATTGCATGGATCTCGCAGATTTTCGAATTCACCCAAGTCAGAGTAAGTATATATTTAAAAAACAGATCGGCGATCGTTAGAGAATGTTAAAATTTAATGAAATAAGTGACAATTTATGTGTTATAAATATTGAATTGACGCTGATGAAGAATAAATTTTGTAGTTTATCCACTTTTAAACGCAGGCACATCGCCACATAGGCCTTGGCTTGGCCTAGAACATGTCAACAAAGCGCCAAAGCGCTCACGAATCAACTACCTCGAAAAGGCTATTAAAATTTACAACTAAATTTTCATCATACGAAGAAAAATAAAATTAGGCAGCCACTTATATAATTTACACGATTCTATAGTAAACAGAAAAGCTATGTTTTACATGCGATGGTTGGATAATGTATTTATTCGGTTCTTCAACCAAATAATATGCGATTTCAACGTTACGATCATGTTAATGAAAGGTAAATCTACGCTTTGTATACGATGGATTGAGAAATTGTACTGATCATGTAATGATATTTTATGCATCATGGAAGTTCTCCCTTTCGAATCGACAGGGATTTTATGTAATGGCCGGATCGATAATACTCCATCGATAACCATTATGCTTCAACAACAATGGATTAAACATTCTCCTATCAGAGATAATCAATTTTTCGATTCGTAAATATTTCGCCTTTCCCACTGGCAAATTAATTTGATCAATATTGGTGAGGATAAGGCATGTGGCTCTTTCAAGAGCAATAATTTATTTATTAAACGCATTTTATTTCTAAAACTATATAATTACAACTGCAAAATGAAGAAAGCACTCGTATGGGGAAACAATAAAGGTATTTATAAATGTAATATAATATTACCTTCGTAGAAAGATACCACGGTTTTTTTCAAATTTTACCTTTGATCCTGCCACGTAAAATCTTTGTAACTGATATAACGAGATCCAAAGAAAACACTATGTAACGTTTTGTGTAATGTAATATTTAAAAACCCATTATTAGAAAAGAATTATCTACGTGCTCCTGTTTTATATTATATCCAGGACGTTTGAAATGCAGACTTACAGTTACCTTGTAATCTTATATTTTGCATATTAAGGTAATTTTTTGCGAACAAATAAACATTAATAATTTGTTTATGGCATCGTTTCTTGTAAAATGCATCTTTGTACATGAGAATGTAGTTATCATATCCTTGATTGAAGAGAAATGTAATCAGAGTATGATATTGTTACATAAAAAAATTACTATAAAGCATCTATGTAATTTATAAGTGAAATTTTTGAGTTGCCTTTCGGACACCTTGGATTTTTCATGTTTCAGTATATCCTTTCTTTCATATGTCCAAAATTTTACAAATTCAAATTGACCCATCAAAGACGGATACGATAGATGGACACAAGGTTACTTTGACCTGTAACAATGTCATAATTGTATACAAAGCTTAAAATACATTTAAACATAAAGTAAGTACGTATACACGCTGAAAAAAGTACATATGCAAATATACAATTTATACTGCAAAATGACAGAGCATTCGGTATGCGTGTGAAGGTTAAAATTAAATTTAAAGCCCAAATCGTGCGTTAAGTCAATAAAAGTTAATTAATCCTCATACACTGAATGCCAAGTTATTTTGACTCTGTATGTATTGTATAATTCGGTATGGATTAAAGTCTCTGTATTTAAAGTGTGAAGGAGGTTAACCTATGCACTCCTAATAGCAGCTCATTTTGATTCACTATGTATTGTATACTGGGTCAAAATGACCCTGCTTTTTGGGTGCAACGGTTAAGATAGAGGCCATTTTGGTGAAAAAAGAAGAAGAAAAAGTAGCAAAGCTTGTTTTACAACTTCATAATCATATTAAATATATCTTTTTACATACTTTTCTTACTTTTCATTTGTTATATATATATATATATATTTCTTCACACAAAAATTTGTCACAATATTATGATCAATCCAATTATTTATAAATTATATTTTGTCAAACATTTTTCCAACTGTGATTAAAAGTCATTCATCAAGACACACTTAATTTTGGTACTTTCTACCTATATATCTGAAAGTTATTAAACTTTGAAAGACGAAAAATTTTATTAGGTTTACAAAATACAGTTTTTTAAACACGTCGTTTCATCAGTTTTCATTCAGATTATTTAACTATTAATTTCAATTCAACAGTTTTTATGAATATTAATAAATATGTACTATGTATCAAACTCGTTATCTTTTCAAAACACATTTTACAGTTGATGAGTATTATTATAGATTAATAATATGTAAAAATTTCATGTGAGAAATAGACATATTAGTTGTAAAGATTAAAATGGCAATGTTTTGTAAACATAAACCTGACTGTACAAATAATTTAGTTAATATAGCATATTCAAATTTCTTTTCTTACAGTTCTCAAAGTTATTGTTATTAGTCACGTAAAATTTTAGATATTAAAGAGTTTCCTTAATGATATATTCACATGAAAGAGTATAATAGATTAATAATAGACTTCTTTTGTTAATACTTGTGAATAATTATTGAAGAGAATTTGCACTAAAGAATAAAAAAATTGTTTTATCTAAACTAATTTTTTAAAGAAAAGGAAGTATACCTTTTGATTAAAACAACTAATAATTTCATATAAAATACACTATTAACCAGAAAATTTGATTATAATATGATTATGTTTTATGCGTATATAGCAATGATGGCTCGTTTATAAGGACTGCAAAGCTGGAATTCCTCTATTGTAAAATGCATTTCTGTTTTATAAATATATATACGTATTTAAAAATCATCGAAATTGATATCATCCGCTTTCTATATAATTACCTTTATTTTTATTAATGGTAATAATGTTTTTCAATTTATATTGCACTTTTTTTTTACTGCTACAGTATCAACACTGCTAATTTTTACGAGCCGCCACTAGTATGCAAGGTATCTTCTTGAAGTGTGTATTTTTTTTACAAAATATAAGATATTGAAGATAACAAATGGTTTGAAAATTGTATAGACAATTAAAGGGCAAACTCATTGGTTAGATTAACTTTTTTCCACATTATTGTTCTAAAAAATATAAAAATTAAATTCATTTTTTTAAATTGAGGGGGAAACTTCCGAAAGGCCCCCTCACCCCAGGACAATCAAACTTCGGATTTATAGTAATTGAGGGACGAGAAATCGAATGAGACCATTTTCAGAACTGGCAAATAAACCGTTCTCGAGATATACAGGGTATTCTAAAAGTGTGAGACCCCCCTATTATCTCGATAAGAACGCATTTCCACGGAAAATGACTAAAACAAACGTTGTAGGGGTCGTAAAGTATTATCTTTACGGGCGTACCAATTATCGTTTTCGGGTAAGGAAAACCCAACACCTGACCCGTTGTCGGCGTAAGGAATGTTGAATTAGGGACGAAAAAGCTACCCTGAGTGGGTTAGCGACTACACCCACCAGGCGCATTTCGCCTCATCACGGGGGAGAGTCTAACCTTTGACCCTCCCCCTTAGTGCCAACTCCGCCGACGTCGGGGGCCACACCCGACGCTGGCTACTCCTCGGGCCGCGTGCAATGGCCCCAGCACCGGCCAACTGCGGTCCAGCGCCTCCAAAAAGGAGCCGCTAGATCTGCGGTGGGGGAGAGAGGCAAGTCCCTCCCCCCGTCTGATCCCCCTACATTGGGGAGCCGGAGCCTCCCCCCACTACATTTGCCTTGAGGAGGAGCCAAAGCTCCCTCCATCCTATCACCCTGATCACCCACTACATCTACCTTGGGGGGAGAGTCGAATCTCCCCCCCCCCCCCCTCATCCTGTTGGGGGCGGTGGGCAGGATTGTCAAGGCCCACCGCCCCGTCCTCCTCAGCTTACTGTGCCGTCGGGAGGCCTTCCCCGACGGCGTCCTCTCCCGACCCCGCTCCGCCTCTTCCTTCATGGCGATGACCTCCTCACAGAAGGAGGTCATCGCCTTCCACTGATCCACGCCGGCGAGCATATTTCTTACCACGCTCGCCAGCGAGAGATCCACCCCCGACTCGCACCGCAGGGAGTGACGGGCCCGCGCAAACACTGGACAGTGCTCCAGTGTGTGTTGCGCGGAGTCCCGCCCCGCCCCGCAGTGGTGGCATATAGCCGTCGCCTCGCTACGAATCCGGCACAGGAAGTTACCGAAGCAACCATGCCCGGTGAGCACCTGTGTGGTCCGGAAGGTGATCCGACCAAAACCGCGGTCCCGCCATTTCTTCATGACGGGCAGGACCGCCCCGACCGCTTGCTGGCCAGCGCACAGTGGGGTATTTGCCTCTCAAACGCGGTAAAAAGTCATTTTTAGAAAATTATCTCTAAAGTCAAAAAGTACTATGAAAATAGTTAATTGAATATTTGGCCCACTATGTAGTATACTTGTTTTTCACATTTATTAATTTTCAACGTGGGTACAGAGGTTTAAAGAAGGCAACTCCGTAATTCTTAAAAACTACAACTATTATTTATGCGTTTAATTCTCACTCAATTTAATTAATCTATGATGGGTTTAAACGTGCCAGGTATGTATTTTAATTGTACCAAGTTTCATTTAATTATCTATAATATTTTTGGAATTATACCGTATTGAATATTTTCCATCTTTATTGTTTATTTTAAAAACAGTCCCGTGGAATCCCGCGTTCTGTTTGGTATCATTTGAAAGTGCAAAGTCTTGCCTTTAAAATAAAAAAAAAATTAGCTGCTACTCAGGTATCTACAGTGATTTTTACTATTATTGACACCGATGTTGAGTCATCGGTTTCAACGCCAAACCGATCACTTTTTGACATCACTATCGAAGATTTTGTTCTAAATGAAATATGTTGTAGTCCATATGAAATTAGAAGGGGTTTAAGTCATCATTTTGCCGGTTTCGAATTTGTTTAATAATTACAGACCTTTGAAGTTTGCAATTTTTGCCCATTTGGACGAAAACGGGCTTCACTTACGAATTTTTTTCTCAGGAACTGTTTGTCCGATTGAGCTAGATTTTTTTTGTTTTATTCAGAAAGGATTGGGCTATTACAAAATAATTTTTTCAATCTGGATAATTAACTTTATAATTTTTTATATCTATACCTTTGTTAAAAAAAACATCCTAATGCGATAACGTTAGACTTATTAAAAAATAGAAAGTGTAAGCTTTAAAATGGTATTTGTTTCATCAAATTTGGATGAAATTTAGCAATGTTATGACAGTGTGAAGATTGAGCAAATTTTAAAGTAGATTTTACCGCGTTTGAGAGGCAAATACCCCACTGTGCGGCGGCGCCACTCGCGATTATCTTGCGACTTATCACCGGTCCAGGGCATCCTGTCGGGCCTGGCACCTCCATTCCCGTTCGATCGCCTGCTCTGGCGGGTCTTCTCCAGCCTGGCGGAGGCCGCACAAGCGCCAGAAAATCGGGGCGCAGGCCTCCGCCTCGTACTTGAAAGGTACGAGACCCGCTAGAGTCATCGCCGCCGCGTGGGTGACCGTGCGGTGTCCCCTCACGACCTTGATGGCCATCCTCCTTTCCACTCGCCGCAGCACAGCTTGGCTGCCCAAGTACCTGTGGCCCTTCCCCACCTGGACGTCGACTCCACTCACACGGACTACCGACTGGGACGGTGGCGCAACTCCACGCCGAGGCGAGTAAAACCACATCGCCCCGGTTTTGTGGGGAACTAGCTGAAGCCCCAGCCGCCGGATCCCCGCGGCAACGGCAGCCACGCCAATCTCGGCGAGGTGGCTAGTCCTCTTCCACCCCCGACCGACGGCCAACACGTGCGTGTCGTCTGCGAAGCACGTGAGGCTCACACCGGTCGGGAGCTCGACCCGCAAGACCGGGTCGTACCCCAGGTCCCAAAGTGTGGGACCTTTCGCAGAACCCTGGGGCACGCCACAGTCCACGTCCCTCTCGTGCAGCTGGCCGTTCCGGCCCCTGTACACTATCTTCCTGTCCCGGAGGTAGTCGCCGACGATCCTCCTCATGTAGGCGGGTGCCTTGTGGCGTATCAGCGCCCCCCTTATCGTCCCGTGAGGCAGGGTATTGAAGGCGTTGACGATCTAAACTAACGCCCAACGCCACCCTGCCCCGGGACGTGGCCGAGTCGCAGCGGGAGCGCATCGACTGGATTGCGTCGATTGTGCTGCGCCCCCGCCTGAAGCCATATTGCGACTCGGCCAAGTCGGGGCCCTCCTGGGACAGGTGCTGGATGAGGCGGGATACCAGGATCCGCTCGAAAAACTTCCCCACCTCGTCCAACAGCACGATGGGCCGGTAGGCCGAGGGACTGTCGGCGGGTTGCCCATCCTTCCGGATGAGGACGAGCCGCCCTGTCTTCCACTGTTGTGGAAAAACTCCTTCTTTAATGCAGGTGCTGAAGAGGCGTCTCAGTCTCGGACCGAGGACGCGTAGAGCCTTCGCCCAGGCACGGCCGGGGACGCCGTCGGTGCCCGGAGCAGTGTTTCGAGCCCCCATCCGTTTAATCGCCCCGGCCAGCTCCTCCTCCGTTACCCCCAGTTCGTCGGACCAAACCACCTCCTCGTGGTCCGGCGGGGGGCGGGTGTGTTTCCTCTCTCGTGGGAACTAAGTGTCGAATACCCGCCCCAAAAACTGGGGGTCGAGGCTCTCCGTGATCGGGGGCGCCCAGGGCCTAAGCTTGCCCATCACCATTTTGTATGGGCGCCCCCATGGGTCCTTCTGGAGAGAGCCTAGGAGCTCGTCCCATGCCCGGGATTTAGACTCCTTGATGGCCATCTGCAGGGCAGTTTCCAAAACTCGGTGCTGCCCATGCAGATCCTCCTC